TCGATGGAAAAGAAAGCGCCAAAGATTTCGTATCTGCAGTTTGTGTTGAATTTGCCTTACATACATACATACGTATGCTTATGCCAAACGACTTCTGACCTAATTCAATTATTAAGTTTTTTTGTTTATACAAATCATGCCCGTACTTACATACTTATATACTTACATACTTACTTTAAATAGTTTTCCGGAGTATGAAAATATCAACGAAGAATGCTTCTATGTTGCTTTGGCATGACAGTTTTTCAGCACTACATATGTACGTGCAAAATGGCCAATTTAAAAGCACAAAAATATAAAACTTCTACTATTTTCCGGTAGTCCAGTTACACGCTCTTCCGTAAATTGTAGTAGCTTTATGGCTTGTCAGGAATTTGTTTATAAAAAATGTTACTTATGAGCTGTATACATGCCTTGCTGGAAATTTGGTGTGTATCGGTGGCGCTTCTTTTGACACCATTTAAGAATTTTGTGCTAAGTAATAGCATTCCCAAATACATATGTGTGTACATACTATGTGTGCATACATCACGATTGTTTTCTTTATAAATTCTTGATTTTTATCTTAAGTCCAAACAAAGAAAAACGCGTTTTGGAACATCCTGCTAATTGTCATGCTATCTCTTAACTTTTCTAATTAAAAATATGATTATATATATATATATATATATGTACAAACATAAGTACACATTTGATTCTAATAGCATTTGCTGTCCGCCCTAAGCTAAGTAATTTTTTTTCGCTGACTACCGTAGCTAAAACGGTGCATCGACTAGTCTATGAAAATGTTGCTAAACCTGTTTTCTTTAATGGTCTGAGTGACATATCGAAAGTTTATTAATCTTCCTTCTCATAGCTTATTTGAAATTAATTGCTTTTGATTTATAAACTGATTGATAAATCACTTTATATACTTCTTATGTGATTCCAGTAGATGATAGTAGGTACACTCATGAGGATTAGATGTGAAACATTTTTAAAACTAATACATACAAACTAAATTCTAAAATTTTACATTTAACCATTTCATTGATATTGAGGCCATTTTTAGTTAAAATATTTGTCGAAAAACCACTATAATTTACCCCGCTTTTGGATAGCAACTAAAGCCCTCTCATTCCCTTTTAATTCCCTTTTGTTCCCGAACCAAGTAAATAGCGAGTCGTCCCCTAAAACAGATTGCGTCTATCCTATTCCTGTCGATATCTATCTGGCCGACGATGACAATATTTTTACGTGGGTTTTAAGGAGTTACGGCCGCTTACAACATATCTGCCTTAGTTGAAACATAAATCCGGGCAAAATACAGTCATCCACTTATCTTAGAATAGTTTGTAAAAACTTGTACTTATGTAGTTTTGGTGATTGTATACATAGGAATTCCTTTTTGCACCCATCTGTCCTTCTATTATGTTGTGTGAACCGTGAACTAGCTTGTGGAACTGATTCCAGAAAACACAATATACCTACTAAGTATGTTCCAAATCCAAAATAATAACCATAAGATCTCAATTTTGATACTCGTAGTTTTTATAACAGGACTAGCTGCGAAAAGTCGCCTTAAAAATTTCCAATCTGGTACGCTCGTTTTGTGACCAAGCATGTTTACAATACACTATCGGTTCATGTCGCAACAAATTAAATTTGAGTATTTATGTACACACAAGTATTTATGTGTAGCATATACAACTTTTTCTGCCGATTTAATTGAATTTAATGGTAATTTGCCACTTAGCCAAATTTGTGGAAAATTATTTCATTGAAATTTACATACAAGTAGGCGTGTACATTATATATGTATAAGTTGTGCATGTTTCAATGTTTAACTATTTAGCTAATGATTTAAAATGGCATTAAAGCGTAAATCTGGGTTGAGTGTCTTTATTGTGCGTACATACATTGGCAAAAATATAAATAGAGAAGAGATATTTTAGCATTTTTAGGCTAATGTCTCTTTCGTTTATTTAATGTTTATTATTTTTTATGAAAGTGTAGTTCGTTATCCAACAAAAACCATGTAAGTCAAAATTTCATACTTTGTACACAAATAAGGAAAATTATACATCAAAATTTTAAGTATTTTAACTAGATTTTAAAAAGCTTTCTGAGTATGCAATTTTGTAGCCCATTGAATTTTAGTAAATATTACATATAAAGTATAAGTTTGAAGTAACTAGGGCTTAACGTGGATTTTTGGCAATTTTTTTGTGGAAGGTGTTGCTCATTTTCTTCATACAAAAAAATTGTCGAACATACTTTGTATGGAAGAAAATGCCTGAACTTACTCCAAACGTGCACTTTATTATACTAAAATTTAATGGGCTGCAAATCTGCCTATTCATAAGAAATCTAAAAAATCGGACTAAAAATATCAAAATTTTGATGAACGTTTGTTAAAAACGTATCATAAAAAAACAATATTTTCTAAACAGAGAAAAATAGACAAAACTTGCTAAAATGCCTCTCCCCTATTTAAATTTTTGCCACCGTACTTACAGTTTGTCAAAAAAGTGTTTTACATAGTAAAATACTGTAATTTTTCGTGTTTGTTTTAACTAAATACTAAATTCAGCTGTCAAGAAAATATTTTCACATATACAGAGTCCGCCAAGATTTGAAAAGGCACAATTATTCAAGTTGCACAAGTTAAATGTACCTTACTCATCCAGGTATGTAGCTGTCCTTTCTTTCGCTAGAACGTGCCTCACTTACATCAATAGCAAATGGAAGACACTTGAAATATTAGCTGAGCTATGTACCTATACATTTATTTAAATTTTTACTAAGTAAGAAGTAAGCGAAAGGTATTCATTAGTTGTAGTCTTAGGCTGGGATCAACTCTGTAGTTTGGCAATCCAAATTTTTCAAAACGACCAACTATAATATTCTTTAGGGAAACGTATTTTATCCATTACATTACACTTATGTATATATGTACATATATTTATAGATGTAATTAACAAAAAACCTTTGGGCTATTTTTTTTTCGTTTTTTGATAAATATAAAGTTTTGAGTTAGTTCAATTTTTAAGAGCAGGTGCCAAATGTGTATACATATTTGCTCTCCATTGTACCTAATTGTACTCGTCTTGCCGCTGCATTTGTTGTTGTTGTTGTTGTTGCTTACAAGTTATGTTGTAATCGTTAATTAACTAATTATAAATAACAGTAATTTTACATGCCCCACAAAAGCAAATCTGTACATCCATTCTTACATAACCGTCTGTGTATGCATACACATGTACATGTACATATGGGCACATTGATTTCATTGTCATCATGTTCCAACGGCTGTTATAATTTTATTTATATCAGGAATCTACTTGGCCCTTGTGATTTCTGTTGTAGTCATTTACTAAGGGGATGTCCGCCGGCTAGAGAGAACTGGTGCAATTTGCAGTGACCAAATTGAGTAAAAGTAATAAGTAGAAAATGTCTGCTTATAAACATTCCAATTTGCAATTTGCGGCACATATAGTGCACGTCTTCTCATTCTCGTTTATGTTTTTAGCCTTGTGGCCTGTGCATCTCGAAAACCACGAAATAATTAGGAGGGGAAAGGAGAGCAGATCGCGTTTTCTAATGCTCTTTGTGCTACATTGTGATCAGACGCACGCACTTTCTTTAATATCTCCATTCTTTTATAGCCCGATTGCTTCCTATATAACGCTTCTCATTGAGTCGCCGATCGCTCCCTCTCGTATGAAAATAACGAATTTTATAAGTAGAGTACGAAAAAAAATCGAACTGCCACTCAGAAATCGAAAATAAATGTGTCCCCAACTGGGACATTCATCAGTTATGGCCCACAAAGTCTATGACATTTATTAATTTCTTTATACTTATATGTACATATGTATGTATTTATTCTTTCTTTTAATTTCTACTCACATTGTATACATTTGCTGAAGACGCTGTCCGTTGTTAATTATCAAAATTTATTTTCATTTGATTTTGTTTGAGAATCTTCGTCGAATCCTAAATTGTAAACATAACAAGGCCCTTAAAAAAGAGGCAATACAAAACTACAACAAAATGCGAATACCTAAGGGCCTATTACATCAAAACAGATGCAGCATCATTAAAAACATACATAAATAATGCACCAATAAATTACAATCAGAGGGTTGCCTTTCGTTTGCCTTTATAAATTGTACAATAACACTTATAAAAAAATTAATGTCTGACAAAATCTAAATCAATGAAGGTTGGAAAAAGTATAAGTACGAGTTCAGGTGCAAAGGGACGAAAACAAAAATGCGATACAGTACACGGTGTACTAGCGAAAAATGATTGTTATGGGGTAAACATGAAAAGTAGAAAACAACTGAAACCAATAAATAAATTAATCTATAACAGACGTATAAAATAGAGTATACCTTGAGTCTTATTAGCAAAAAATCGTTCACATTTCGTTATATGTACATATGTAAAGCCTGGAGGGTTTACCACGTACATATGTATCTATTCAGTTATGCTCGAACTAGTGAATAAAGTTTTTTTTGTTCGTTCGAAACAACCCACTTACACTATACAATTTTCGTTATCGGCAATAAGAAAACATGTATGTAGCCCCCGGCAATATATTTACTGCTGGTAATAACATTATCATCTGCCGAAGGCAACTCGCCTGTACGAAGCATTTTATTAGCCGTCATCGATTCGCCAACAGTTAGCGAGTGGCGAAACGAACGAACTCAATGACGTACAACCAAACTCGCTATCGTCTATCCGTGCTAGCTAACGTTGTTGTTGCTTTCACATGAAAAATTCTTCTTTAAGCGACCGGAACCCAAACATAGCGAGCGAGAAGTGGCGAATCGATGACGGCTATTATTACTACAGGCGATATTTGAACAATCATTACTTGGAACAATTTGGCGCTTACTATGTTTTTGGGAATTTTTTATAACGTCTTCCTTAAATGATATGTAAAAAATGAGGTTGCCGCTGTGAGGTTGTGGTAATATAAAAATAAATCTACTAGTCGCCAATTTATTGAAGTGGACGATTGTTGCCTATTTCTATTGTTTTGCATGGTGGCAATTTTTTACGTTTTTGCTTTTTGGTGTAATTTCGAAAATTCATATCTCCTTGACGCCCATAATTTTAAAGAAAAAATGTTTAAGCCCATTCCTGTCAGTTTACATATTTTTTGAAGTCTTTCTATCAGTCTAATTAATCCAGTCAACAGCGATGATTGGGCATTATCAGTGCGGTTTTAGATCTGGCAAATACACCATAGACCAGGTATAGGTATTCACAATATACCAAATCTTGGAAAAGACCCGCAAGAAAATCCGCTTTCGACAGCACTAAAAGGAGTTGCCTATATGCCGCTATGTCTGAAATTGGCATCGCCGCCAAACTGACACGGCTGTGTAAAATGTCGTAGAGCAATACCACCAGCTCCGTCAGAATTGGGAAAGACCTCTCTGAGCCGTTCGCCACCAAACGGGGTTTCAGACAGGGCGACTCCCTTTCATGTGACTTCTTTAATCTGATGTTGGAGAAGATAATAAGAGCTGCAGAACTGAACCGCTCAGGAACAATATTTTATAAGAGCATGCAATTGCAGGCGTATGCCGATGACATGGACATCATCCGTAACAAAAATCCCGAAGTCTGTTGTGCCTATCCAGTATTCGATAGAAAGATTTTGCGGTTAAATCCTTTCGATTTATCTACCCTTTTAGCTCTATAATCGGTTTCCTAAACAAATAATTGATGCCTTACCTAGCCTCGGTGTCCGGCATATCTTTTTGTTCGTTCTGTTGAGGACTACTACAGCCTAGAATTCTGGAACTATACAAAATTTCAACTAATTGTTTAGGCCATTGCCTCAATATAATACAAATATGAAAATTGAAAAATAGTAACTATTTACTGTCCTTCTCAATGTTGCTTCAAGTAATGCATTTATTCATACGCTATGTCAGAGCATTTTATAGTGATTATAAGTAAGTGTACCATCCTCCTTAAAAATGAAATTTATGTTTGCAGGCCATGGCTTTTTATTCTCTCTTTATTTTAGATGTGGCGTGTAAGCCTAAATTACATCATGGCGAGGTTAGAAAAAATATCAACTAAATTTATGAGTAATTCACGCTGAGACAAGAATAAATGAACGCACGAATGTGTACAGGCACGCAACAAATCTAATAAAACATCTAGAAATGTGTTATGTAATAAAAGTTAAAAAAGGTAGAGCCACTGACACGTATATGTGCGTGCATATGTCTCACCAACCCTGTGTGATGAATAACTCTATAGAAGCCGAGATCCTTTGATAGCGCTAACCACTTTCCACTATAAGCGGCACTACGTGTGTGTCCAAGCTTTCTTTTCACTTATTTATTTATGCTGTTTCTTTACATATTTATTTAATTTTCCTTTTTTTGTAAAATAATAATGGAGTTTCAAATTTCACCGCTTTTTAAAGGATCAATTCATACATATATATACATACATATGTACGTACCTATGCATGTATGAATACCCTTGCGTTTGGTTTCCATGTACGGAAAATCTCTATTTCTGGGCTGGTGCGCTTCTAGTACATTTATATCCAGTACTGGTTCGCGATAAATCTCTTTTGCAGTGCAAGGTTAGGTTAGGTTAGGCTAAACGGGCAGCTCTGCGAAGAGTAAAATCGGAGGCCGCAAAGGCCCTATGGGGGGTTACCCCATGCAAACAACTGGCGAATTTAACATGGTGATGTATGTACGTTTACATACTTTTGGCTGTAGCTGAGTTAGCAGAGGTGATTGCTGTTATTGGCTATATTCCAGAAGATCCCACGATTTTTTGTTTTATATTACCAAGCTAAGAAGAAGCATTTTCGAAATGCAAAATGAAATCGTATTTGAGCGAAAAATCTGCCAAATGCATACATATCTATGTAAAGAAAACAAGCCACCCGCTGCATCCCTTTTTCTATAGTTCCGAACCAGTTATTCATTCGTCACTTTAAAAATAGATTCCTAATGGAAAAAGGGAAATAAAATAGTTTTTTAAAAGCACCATATTTCCCTGGTTTTGGACTAGTGGGGATCTAGTTACTATTGGACTGGTTCGTATTTGGCGATAAAGATCTAGTACGGAACCAGAAATTTTATTCACTAGTCCGCGTTTTTCCTGCAGGGCTCTTCTAAATTTGTTGTACATTCACTGCGCCCTCTTAATTTGCCATTTGTTCTACTAGCAGTTGGAAACATGTACATAATATGTATGTGTAGACGTATGGCACTTACATACATACGTATGTATTTACATATGTCTGTCCAATTCAACTTTACTACACTTTTATTAGTCACTTGCTTGCAATTTCTATTTCCTGCGTCTCAATTGTCTGTTGCTTGAGGCATTTAAGTAGCTTCAATTTCAATTAGATGAACTCCAATTCACAGCTTCTTGTTATTTAGTTGCTCTCACATACATACATATGTATGTACTTACTTAGAACCCACAGCCTCTATGCTAATTTGCTTGTAAATCTTCATGTGCTATTATTTACTACACCTATTACTCGTATTACATTGCCTAGTTGTAATTTGTTTGATGCAAGTTGCTGCAACTTTGTGTCGGTCATTCCTGTCCATCGCATGCTTTTCTGTCCATATACTCCACTATTTTCATATTTGCAGATTATTGCGGTTGATAACGGTTTTATTTCATTTTGTAATTTATTGCATTTCCTTTGCAACATGCTGCGTGCCACATTGTCTAACGTTACCTACAGCACTCTACGTAATTGCATTACACTTGTGGGCACATTAAGTTGTTGATACATTTAGTTGAGGGACATCATTGCACCATTAGGGTGAGAAGAAGTTGTGTCGATATGTATGCGATATGTACGTTTTCATGAGAAGGAAAGAGAACCGCGGTACGTAGTGGTACGGTGCTTGGCTCCTAGTAAGGTTTCTGTAGATTTTCATTCGGCTGCTAGCATGAGTTTTTAATACATAGACACTCGTATGATTGAAAATTTAGGAATGAACAATTGTCTTTCAAGCGTAAGTCTTTGCAAAACTGTACAGCAGACTGGATAATTGACGAATTGAGAATTGGCCAAAGATGTCAGTTGAGGTTAAACTTAGTTCTATACTGGAATAATATTGAAGTCATGTAGGTACCCGGATATTGTGATATTGACGAATAAGCAAACTGCAGTTCTTTGGTGTCTGCAAGTGAGCCGGAGCCCCTTATAGGACAAAATATAACAGGAACTGTCAGGTCCAACTGAGATCTCATGAGGACCGTTGGTGCAATACTGAGAGCAACAAAACAGCAAAGCATTTCCAGCTAAAATTTGTGGTGGCAAAATTCCATCTCAAATAAAGAGTGAGAAGCCCTGAACCCTTATAAGACCGTTGTGGAGCAAAATTAATAGGAATGACATAGCTATGATCACCATATGTATCATCAGAGATCCACTGTGTACATCTTTCGGGCAGAATAAGTATAGTATCGAGCATTTTTTCTGCAGTTGAACAGCCTTCGCCAGACTGAGATTGTGCATTCTGGGTCAGTTGTTTTGAACAGGGACCGTAACAGTCACAAATTTTATTATGAAAATCGCACTTTAACAATTGTTTGTTGACCTTTATTTAATTACCCTTTAAATAACAATTATTTGCGACTTTTATTTTATAAGTCCAAAATAACAATTGTTTTTAATTTTTATCTAAATTATCTGCAAATAACGGATATTTTTGATTTGTATATTACTTATATGTCTTAGAAAACAGTTATTGAAGACTTTTATAATGTCATCCTAAAAATCAGAAGTGCCCGAAAATAACTGTTATTGACTCAAAATTGTATCTAAAAAATCATTATTAAGACAGCTTCCAGAAGATATGATATATTATATAAATTTGATCGTTGTTCAAAGATCAAGGGGTATAAGCTATAAACCTTTATTTAATAATTTTTATTTTACGCACAGAAAGTAATTGTTATTTGCGGAGCGTTATTTTTGTCCACAAAATAATTGTTATCTGATAAGTTTTATTTTTCGTTCAAGAAATAAAACGTACCTGGTGAGTATTGTTTTTCAGTCAAAAATTAAGTAATGTTGTTAGGTTTATTTTTCTTTTACACACTAGAACTCAGTGCACCAACCAAACAAATAAAGCTTCAGCCCTTAAGATTTATTTTGTAATTGAAAAATAAAACTCACCAAGTAACTTTTACAATTACAATTTTTACAATTGCTACATACAAATAAATATGGAGCTTGTGTAATTAGTATCGATGCTGCAGACATTTTGTTAATTAAATTCGTTACTTGAGTGCTAATTAAAACGCGACTGTCGGATAATTACTAGCGCAATATTACAATACATAGTACGTAGGACGTACATACGTATGTGTGTAACATGAAAAACATATTTTTTAGTATAAAATAAGTTCTCGCACTACTATGTATGCTCTTAGTTCTTACAGCCCCGTTTTGTTGGCTTTCTCACAGGCTTCACTTATTAACAGAAAAATGTCTGTCGTTTAAATATTTGTCTTACTCCTTATGCAACTTCCTGCTCTGTGTTCACAAACATACCAGTATGTCCGATTGTGTATGTATGTATGTATACGTATACATATGTGGCTTCTGGTAAAAATCTATTCCCATGTCAACGCATTGTTTCGAGTGTTTGTTGTATGTTTTAATTATTAATAACTATTCGTAACTTCTAGATTAAAATAATTTCCCATAAGAGTCAAAAATTTAGAAAATTTGTTGTGTTTGAACTCTGTGTGAATTTTCTCAGGAAAATACAAAATACCAGGAATAGAACTTGAATCTCTTTCCATTGTGAGTATATACATACATCTGTACGTACATCCATAAAGCACATATGAATATATGTACATACATAGCTGTTTGTAAGCGAATTCACACCCGTATGTCAATTGGTTTGAGCGCCCTTGACGCCTTCTGGAAGTGAAGAAGGAATAGAGATGTTATTAAAATAAAAAATAGATGAAAAATAACAAAAAATAATATATCTAATAAATTGAATAACAGAAAATCATAAGTTGTACATATTTTTCTCTGTGCATTTGCCAAATTTTTCACCTGTTGTTAAATTTACACCTAACTCCACGTTCGTACGTGTTCCTAATTTCATTTATGTACGTCAGTCATTCCATTTGCTTTCACAACTATTCAGTTTTTAATTGCCTACCCAGCATTAGGCTATTATTTTTAACCAAGTTCCGTTTACGGTAAAGTTAAATTGGCCAACGGTGTTAATAATTGCTAATAAAAAATTTGTATGTTTCTTTTTATAAATGCCCACCTTTTTTAAAAGCACTGCAGAAAATCCTGCAACTATTACACTGCAACACTACACGAACGTTGATGAAGCAGCTGTTTCCAGTGTCTGGATTTTCAGCCTTTGTTGCGAAGTCGTCTTTTTTTTTTTTTAAGCGCGAGTGCAATGCACTCTAATTCGCGGCGCTGTAATGTCAGCACAACTTGTATGGTTTTTTGTTTTATATTTGGCTTGAATTGTCAAACCGGAAGGTTTACCCAAAAGCGTATAAAACCGCAGAATTTCAGGTTAATGATGTTTTGCCAAATATGGCGCACTGCCATTTATTTGCGCTGCGTGGAGATTAAATGAAGAATTACTAGTTACTTGCTGAAGTTGCCTGAAAGAGGCACATTGAATCGTTGTTGTTTTTGCGTTTGTGTATAACAATAATATTGAGGAAACGGGAGATAAGTGATCTATTTGTATTACTCATTGCTTTTCTCTTCTGTTTCCGTACAATATCGGCTATGGGGTTTTGGCATTTCTTCTTCTTTAAAATTATTTTTACAGGGCAAATCTAGCAATTATCTTAAAAGCTCTTTTGTGTCTTTCGAAAGACTAATTCAAACGATAAGATCTTAAAGCTCAGTTAAGCAAGCCTTAGACTTAACTTGACATGAAAACTGTATATCTGGCAAATGAGCAGCGCGTGCATGAAGTTACCAAAAAAAAAAAACAAAAAAAAACTAACTTCACTTAGAAACATGGAGAACTATAGATTTTTGATTACTAAGTTAAATTTCTAAGTATAAAGAGAGCCGTGAGAGAATCATGCCGCTATTTCATTTTTTATGAAATCCATTCGCCACACAAATAAAATTTTTTGTATAAATGTAATTCAACTGGAAATCGAAAAACAAACTTTCAAATAAAGACAGAAAATAAAATAAAAACAATTTATTTTAATAGTAATTTTGTATCCATTTTAGTGTAAAAACAAATCCAACGTTTACTATTTTACGTGTAGATACAAATACAAGTGCTGAGAGTCAAAACAAAGAGTAAAGGTAATAGGTGACACGCTGAGTAATCGTTCCTAAGTTTCTAGGTAAGTCAAGGCAAGTCTACGTCTTGCATAACCCAGGTTTTAGCGTTTGCCTTTTAGAAGTGCATTTTCTAAAAATTGAATTTAAAGATTTTTTTTAGACAATTAAAACCAAGGCGAATCTATACAAGATGGTGTTAGCCAAGGCGAATTAATACAAGGTGGTGTTGATGGCGAATTTAGATTTTCGCCGAGGTACGTCTTAATGTCAAAATGATGTGTTTGTTGTAAAATGAATTCGCCTTGTTTACAACAATTGATGTATTTGTTGTAAACAAGGCGAATTCCATATTACAACAACGCATCGTATAGACAATGAGTATAACCGAAACGAAAATTTAACTTCGGCAGTAGCACCGCCTTGTATAGATTCGCCTTTATAAAAACTTAAATATAATAAAAAGTAATTATACATAAAAAAAATTAGATTCAAAATTAAAAAATAAAACAAGTTCCTAAAAATTGTTTGAAATTAAAAAAATTTTTGTTATTGCGACGTAAAATTTACTTTTCACAAATAGTTCTCTATTAAAAACCATAAAATATAAAAATAAAACTAGATAAGTTTCTAAAAATTAAATGAACATAAATGTTTTTCATTTACACACATATTTTTTTTAAGTAAATTAAAAGGGGAAAAAATTCCGCTGCTCGAGGTATTATTGGTATGTCAGTGCTTTGCTCACTCTACAGCAAAATGATTTGCATAGATACATACCTACTACATATATCTCCATTGGGTACATGCCTAAGTGCTATGGCCAAAATAGCTATTCACTCTGAAAGTTGGCAAACGGAGCTGTTTTTGTAAGAATTTCGTGCCAGAATAAACGAACTATCTCGTCTACTGTCTTTCAATTGCCTTACAAAAGGCTTGCAACTATCTTAGCTAGAATAACGCTGTCATTGTATTGAGAGCTGGATATGATGAAGTTCTTTACAAAAGGTGTTCCATTAGGGATGCCAAAATATGAGGTAAATTGTGATCCCGGCATTTCGGGATATTTTTTAAGTAATCCCGCGACTCACGTTGAGGCACATTTTACGAATATGGGCAAATATACAATATCTGAACGAATACCATGAAATAAAACTATTTAAAATTTACGATAGACTGATTGTTAAACTCACATATCGCTAGCTTAGAGTGAAAAGTTGCATAACTGACATTGGCTGTC